CTCTCCCTGGACATCTATAAGTCGAGTGGGCCTGATGGAATCCCCCCATTGTGCTGAGGACGTGTGCTCCAGAGTTGGCACCGGTTTTAACGCGTCTTTTCCGGTACTCCTACTCCCTAGGCGTAGTCCCAAAATCATGGAAGACGGCTTTCGTCCACCCGATCCCTAAAAAAGGCGACTGCTCAGACCCGTCCAACTACCGGCCTATCGCCATCACCTCCTTGTTCTCCAAAACAATGGAGTCCATTGTAAACTGCCAGCTCATGAGGTACCTTGAGAATCACCAGCTGATTAGTGACCGCCAATACGGTTTTCGCCGTGGTAGGTCAGCTGGTGATCTTCTGGTCTACCTAACTCACAGATGGGCGGAGGCAGTAGAGTCCAAGGGGGAGGCATTGGCCGTTAGTTTGGACATTGCGAAGGCCTTCGATCGGGTTTGGCACAAAGCGCTTCTTTCGAAGCTCCCTTCCTATGGGCTTCCCGAGAAATTATGCGATTGGATCACCAGTTTTCTTGCAGATCGGAGCATCAAGGTCGTTGTAGACGGTGCAAGCTCCGATTGCAAGCTTATTAATGCTGGTGTTCCACAGGGCTGCGTGCTATCGCCAACGCTGTTTCTTCTGCATATCAATGATATGTTGCAAACCCGTAGCATTCATTGCTATGCAGATGACAGCACTGGTGATGCTCTTTACACCGGCCGAGCCAATATTTCTCGGGAAAACGTCTCTGAGTGCCGGGACAAACTTGTGTCTGAAGTCGAGTCTCTGCTGGACAGAGTCTCGGATTGGGGGCGACTAAATCTAGTCCAGTTTAACCCCCAGAAGACACAAGTTTGCGCGTTAACCGCTAAAAAGAACCCCTTTGTCGTATCCCCTCAGTTTCAAGGCACTCCCCTTGTTGCCTCAGCCAGTATCGGAATCCTCGGCGTCGACATATCGAGTGACGTGCAGTTTCGTGGTCACTTGGAAGGGAAGGCCAAATTGGCCTCTAAAAAGCTTGGCGTGCTCAGCAGAGCGGGACAGTATTTCATGCCGGCACACCGCCTGCAACTTTACAAGGCGCAGGTTCGGCCGCTCATGGAATACTGTTCCCATCTCTGGGCTGGGGCTCCCCAGTACCAGCTCCTTCCACTTGACCGCATCCAGCGCAGAGCGGCTCGAATCGTCGACGACCGAGTGCTTTCCGATCGGCTCGACTCACTGGCGCTGCGAAGAGATGTTGCATCTCTTTGCGTATTTTATCGCATCTATCACGGGGAGTGCTCTGAGGAATTGTTCGGATTAATCCCAGCCGCCAAATTTCGTGAACGCACTACACGGCAAACGTCCCGATACCATCCACACCATCTGGATGCTTGGCGGTCCACCACTGTACGTTTCAAAAGGAGTTTTCTTCCGCGTACAACCTCTCTGTGGAATAATTTACCACCGGTGATTTTTCCGGACCGATACGACCTGGGGACCTTCAAGAAAAGAGCTTACTCCTTTCTAAAGGGCCGGCAACGCACCTGCAATTCCCCTGGTGTTGCGGTTGATCATGGGCGGCGGTAGTCACTTAACATCAGGTGAGCCACATGCTCGTTTGCCCCCTCTTCTATAAAAAAAAAAAAAAAAAAAAATTTAAAGTGCTGATTTTACGTGCTTGGCACTGAAAAAAAAACAACGTGACAAAAACCGTAGGTGTAATAAATTAAAAAAAATATCAAAGACATGTGACGTCCGTCAACACACTTTGGGGTAGCGGTGTGGACACGTCTTTGTCCAAAAATTTTCGCTGTAACAGGAGGAGGCTTATGGGCAGGATTTGGGCTGTAACTGTACTCTTTACATTAAGTTATTTTATAATTAGAATATAAAGAATAAGTAACAGAATATCGTACATTAATTTTTACTACGCATTTTATTCTCGAACCGTAAGATTCATACGTTAAATTAAAACTACTTTTACGGATTTTATCGCGTTTAATATATATTATGATTTTGCACCCATGGCCACGGAGGACTATGAGTACTAAAAAAAAGAAGCACCCGAAATGTCAGGAATTAAAAATCATATAAATTAAAGGCGATAAAATCCGTAAAAGTAGTTTGAATCAACGCGTAGTGTTCGAGTAAATATAAGAAATCGTTATTCATACGCTATTTAACAAAAAAGCTTTCATTTTCATCGGTCCCCTGGCGTAAACGGTGAAAATGTTACACGAAGACGTAACGTTTTTTTATATACCGTATTAATAATCTTCAATACGCCGAAAGAAGTTCCACTTCAAAAATTATTCTATTCCCAAGAGACGACTATGTGATATGACTTTTGATATATGGCGGTACATCCATCTCGTTTAATTTAGATGTAAAATACACAGACCGGCGATAGCGCCAAGGGTGCTAACACCCTTGGGTACCGATTTATCCGTCAAGCGTAACTAATAAGGCAAATCCTCCCTATAAACGGAAGAGGACAATATCAAGTAGTAGCTAATAAAAAAAAATTAATAATTTAATTATTTAGAGCAGTTGTCCTTTAATAATTTAAAAGTTTAGCTGGCCATATGAGGAAGCTTAGATCTGCTAAGCTGAGGAAGAAATAAAGATTTAAGGACAATCATAATAATATCCAAAGACTGTTTGTAACTAATGATTACGTCCACTGGCTAATCCTTATACACAACTATCACTATGGTTATATAAAAAAATATGGCAAGGAGTTTAGCGTTGTTAGTTAGCCAATTTTAAATTAACGATGGTTATATGCTGTAGATAAGAGCTGTACCGTTTATCCTTGGATTTAGAATGGGTAAAGCTAATTTTGAATTAAAATACAGCTTTATCTAAACTTTCAGATTTTATATAAATTTGTGGTTATCGCAATTTATACTTTAAATATTACTACGATTCTGTTAATTACCGTATTCTAACAAATTAATGCAGCATAAAAATATATGAAGGTGCATTGTAAATTGTAATTTATTATTTAAATTATTTTGAGGATATGTGATAGCTGTTTATACGCACTGAGTTATAGCGCAGTCTTTCTTAGTTACATCTGCCAAGATAAAATCTTCTCAGAAATAAGAAGACGCCTGTGATCAACAGTCGAATAAACGTGGATCGTTTATTAAGATTTTTTGCATTTGAAGCAATCTATTGGGGAGGCCTGCGTTCATTAACGGACTTTTGACAGGAAATTATGTTTCGCGGCTTCATTCTTTGCGATTCATTGTTAACGTATTGTACCTAGGTTGCACTAAAAGTATCGGGAATGGAATATTTCCACTGTTCCTGTCATATTAAAATCTTTTTAATTGAAAACTCCTTGGTTTTAAAAATCGAATACCATTTATTTATTTAAAAAAATTCTCGGTCTTGTCACAAGGTTTTGTAAAACTTGTTTAGTCGTTGAGAAAATGGAATTGACTCGAGAAAATTCAAGAGCGATGATTTTTTGTGGTTCGGTGTCTTTCTGCATTGGTGATGAAGCCCCATCCAAAACCACAATTTATCGCTGGTTTGCTGAATTTCAACGTGAACGTGTCAAGCTCAGTGATGATCCCCGTCAAGGTCGTCCAAAAACTGCAGTCACCCAAGAATACGTTAATGCTATGCGTAAGCTGATTGAGGAAGATCGACATGTGACATACCGCGAAATTCAGGCAACTTTAGAAATTGGCATGAGTCAAATACAAATAATCTTGCATGAACAATTAGGTGTAAAAAAGTTGTTTTCCCGATGGATACCGCAATCGCTTTGTGAAGAGCAAAAAGCGGCTCGCGTTACTTGGTGCGTTAGAACTCAAAAAAGTTTTAAAATCGAGGTTTAAAAAAAAAAAAAAAAGGGGGGGTAAATACATTTTTAAATAGTAATGTTGTGTCACTTCCTTGATTTCCGAAATTTTCAGTGCCGCACTCGTAGTAGCACCTCCATGTACTAGGCTTGCACGGATTTTTAAAAGTATTTTTTGTATGGTATCCCTACTAATGCTGGCAACACTACCCTTGCCTAGCTCGGTTCACGTGTTCCCAATTCCCATTCGAGATCGAGTCATTCTGTATCTCCGTTCTCAAGGCTTCGCACGTCTCTCTAGCCTTATTGTACAAAAGTTGACTAATTTTTGGCAAAAAATGAGAAGAAAAAGAAAACAGGAAAACAGTGAAGACGAAATCAAGAAAAATTTTTAAAACTGCAAAGGCAGTTATACAAAGTTACCAATACGGGAGAATCTTTGTGGAGAATTCAAGCGGTAAGTTTTATAATTTAGATTCAACACATTACATCATACAAAATTTGAGCTACTACCGCCATTATTGATCTAATTAAAATATGAAGGTGTGATGCGAGATACCGTAATTGGGTTACTTCTGTCACGAAAAAAGTGATGCGTTCTGCTTATTTTGGGCTGATACTGCCACATTTTTACTACAAACATTCTAATAAGAACTGTTTGCTGCTGATTCACCTCTGCATCCGCTGAGCACGTGCCACGATTTATCACCAGCGTCATGCGCGGATTCTCCTTTTCTGGTTGATGGGGAGGTTCATCTACATATAACCATCTTGTAAGAAATGGTTGTCCAGGAACTGGTTATCTACCGCCGACGATTCCAAAAATCGCCGGTGCCGAGAATGGCACCACAGTCACCGCAACCGCAGGTTGTCGAATGACCGATTTCTCCAACACCTGGAACTTCAGCTGGCAGTGAAACTTCACAGTCGATGGTGTTAGAGGAGCAACTCGACGAAGACATACTGGTTTTGCTTGGTGATGCACCTAAAACCTAGACCCAAATGGATCCAGCAATCCATAAGGATATAGCCAATCGGTGGCGAGACGTACTTGCTAAAAGGTTGGCAAAATAACTGTGACCTCCTGATTGCAACAGCTCTAAAATCGGGGGGTTAAAGCAGCTCTGACAGAGACCTCTATAAAAAGAGACTCGTTACTTTTGTTCAAACAAAAGCAGCTAGGCGTCGCCATTGCAGCCCTAGGTGCTGTTGCCAATATGATCATTTCGGACGAAACTGGCACCCAAAAACTTTTAAAACCTTTAAGCGACGCCTGTCGCAATCTTTGCGATAATCATTTTATGGAATCAAGAACACGTAGAGGTTTCGTAATTTCGTCTATTAATACTTACCCGCTCTACTTTCAGTACCACCAGCAACACTGGTCATTTAAACTACCTAAACCAATATCGCAAGGTAGACAACAAATTGCAGCCGCAAATTTACAACATAAGGCGAGGGCAGCGGTCAACGCCGCGCCCGCGGAAGGCACCGCAGCAGGCAGCCAGCACTTCACGCCGCCCGCCGTCAATCGAGCGGACGATGTCTCGCCGGACATAGACGAGGTACCATTTTCGGGATAACTTCAGTACTTTGCCCATAAATGGGCTGAAATAACTTCGACAAAACTATTTCATCTTGGGTGAAAGGTTATCAAATACCATTTAAAACTATGCCATATCGTACTTGTGATCCTAATGTTTACCCCAAAAACATCTCACGAAGCCCATAATGTTAACAAGTCAATTAAAACCCTTCTAGATATTGGTGCAATATCGCACCTCACACATAAAACGAATTCATATCCAGTGTATTTTAAGTGCCAAAACCGAACGAAGAAAATAGATTTATATTGAATCTTAAATGCTTAAATAAGTTCGTAAAACGGGACATTTTAAAATGGAGGATTACTGAACAGCATCAAAATTGATAACCAAAAACTGTTAAATGGCTTCCATAGATTTAAAAGACGCCTATTTTCTTGTACCTATACATAAATCTCATAAAAAATACCTTCGCTTTAAATATAATGATGCGCTTTTTGAATTCAATTGCCTACCGTTCGGTTTATGCACAGCACCTTACGTTTTTACTAAATTAATGAAACCAGTAATAGAATTTCATTTCATTTTTAATTAATGGAATGATATCTGTTATATACCTTGATGATATATTTTGCATTGGATGTTCGCTTTTAGAATTCAAAAGGAATATTAGTCTTACTACAAACTTTAACCCAAGCTCGGGTTTCTTATTTAACAAAGAGAAAAGCTGCCTGGAACCATACACTCAATGTAAATTTTTAGTTTTTTTTTTGATTCCAAGAACATGACGGTAAAATTGCCCGATCCTAAAAAAAGTGGGTATTTCTAAGTTCTTTAAACTACATAATTGTAATCTTCGTGAATTTGCTCGACTGTTAGGACTTCTAGCGTCTGCATGCCCTGCGATTAAATATTCGTGGCACACCAACGTTTTTAACAATTCAAATATCGGTGCTTACTCGAAAACCAAATAATTTTGAACAAATTGTAAAGCTTCCTAAAAGTCTTCAGACCGACATGATTTGGTGGATAAACCATATTGGTCATCGTTTCCATCCACAAAACTGTGATAAATATGATTTAGAAATATTTTCTTAGGCATCATCTACAGGTTGGGGTGCTTATTGTAACATGAAAAACTGTTTTGGCTACTGGAAAGATCATGAGAAATCCTTGCATATTAACGAATTAGTTACAGGCAGGTTTTCTGGCTCTAAAGTGCTTCGCTATTAATTTAAATTCAATTAAAAATTATTGCGAATTGACAATGTTACTGCAATGTCTTGTATACAGTTCGATCATTTAAATATTATTTTTAGACAAATATAGTAATGGTGTGAAATTCGTGCAATAACTGTATTCTTTTCTTATAGAAATACTAAAGACAACTGAGAAGCAGATCAAATGTCTCTTGAGAAATTTTCAAACACTAAATAGGAACTTCATGATAAGGCATTTAATAAATTACCTCTTTGCTACGGTTACCCAGATATAGATCTTTTTGCTAGCAGACGCAAATGCTAAAAGCTATAAATATATACCTTGGAAAAATTAGCCTGATGCCTAGGCCACTGACGCTTTTACCGTTCCTTGGAGAAATGTGTTCTTCTACACATTTTCACACTTTTCACTAATAAAAAAGGTCATACAAAAATTATTAATAAAAGAGTAGAAGGTATTCTAGTAGTACCATATTGGTCTACGCAACCCTAGTTGCTAGTATTTATTTATTTATTAATTTATGCTTTCATGCACAAAAAAGTACATATGGCGGACTTAATGCCATAGGGCATTCGCTCCCAGTCAACCATTAGGCTAAACAGAGATCGACATTGGAGGCTGTGCAGCAATAATCAAATAGAGAGGATAAAAGAAATAATAATATATATATAATAAACAATACATACATATTATATAAACACACACATATATATATATATATATATATATATATATATATATATATATATATATATATATATATATATATATATAAATGGAATATATATACATACATACATACACTATATACACATAAATACATAAAGATATATATTATATTTTTTTTTATATATATATACATACACAATAGGTTAGAACAAATATGAAAAAATATACGAGAAAGAGAGCTGAGTTAATTCAAACTTGCAACGATTTAATCATATACTTACGGTCTTGATTTTTAAAGACGAATTTGTTGGGAGCTTTTTTTAATATCAAGAGGAATGAGATTATCTCAGAATGGTCTATCTCATCAGAGTCTGATGGCAATGAGGGCGAAAGAGTGAGATAAATAACCAGTACAGTGTAAAGGAGTGAGCAACTTAAGATTGGCCGAGGAACGGAGAGAAAAATTATGAGAATCTCCCAGGTATTGAAATTTAGATTTCAGATACTTGGGAGCACATGAATCGTTCAAAATAGAGAAAAGGGTGCAGAGTATTCTAACATATCTGCGCTGACGGATAGGCAGCCAGTTTAACTGTGTAAGAAAGGAAGATACATGGTCGTATTTACGAAGACCATAAATGTATCTGATGCAGTTGTTAAGCAGTCGATCAAATGTATTAAGATGAAGTTGAGACAGGTCTGAGCAACATACATCGACATAATCAATAATCGGTACAATAAGTGATTGGACAAGTAAAATCTTGGTATTGGTGGGAAGAAAGTTTTTAAATCTATATAGAGATCGCAAAGTTCCAGTAGTTTTGCGACTCACCTCCTGTATATGTTTGTTCCATGTTAAGTAACCATCGATGTACAGACAAAGGTTATTTACGTTAGTAGAGAATGGTATCACATTATTATTAAACATAATTGATGGTAGGGTGGAAATATCCAGTTTAGATAATAATCTTGAGCTACCTAAGATTATCGTTTGGCATTTAGACAGGTTCACGTTTATGCCATACACAGTAGACCATTCTGAGATATATTTCAAATCATCATTTAACAGTGAAATAGCACTTAGAATATTTAAAGGCTCCACTTGCGCATATAACTGCAAATCATCAGTATACGAATGGTAAGAGCTCTTGAGATTTAGTGTGATGAGATTTATAAAAATGGAAAACAGAAGAGGGGAGATAATACCGCCTTGAGGGAGGCCTATTGACACATCACGCCAGTCAGATAGTATATCACCAGTACGCACGCCTGTTGGCGCCCTCGAAGATATGTTGAGAACCATTCCTGAGCTAAAGACGAGATATTCAAATGAGAAAGAAGAGCTAACAAGATACCATGATCGATAAAATTAAATGCATTAGAAAAATCAATTAGGATGAGAACAGTCAGTTTTGATTTTTCCATCTCCTCACGAATATCTTCCGTAACCTTGAGAAGAGCAGTAGTAGTAGAATAACCCGGGCGGAAACCGGACCGATAAGGGGAAAGAATATTCTTTGAGAAAACAAAAGCAGAAATCTGTTTATGAGCAACAGCTTCCAGAACCTTGGAAAGAAAAGGCAGAATAGAAATTGGTCTGAAATTAGATAAAGTGCTGCATTCAGTAGCTTTCGGGATGGGAATAGTAATAAAGCCTTTATTAACGCCAGAGCGTTGGAAAAGCACCATTCATCAGCGAATAGTTAATTATATGAGTTATCACGGGTAAAACAGAATCCAGCATGTGCAAAACCATTACCCTACTCACATCATCACATCCAACGGCTTTCGATTTAATAGAGGAAAGTGCTTTGCGTTCCTCGTCTTCGTCTACAGGAGTAAAAGTGAAAGTTTCATGGGAATAAGGAGGCATAGAAGATATAAAAGAGATAGCATTAGCTCTAGAATCATCAGAAACTATTAGAGAAGACAGAAAATAACGATTATAATCGTCAGGAGAAAAGGTGACGCTATTATAGTCAAATTGCGATTTTGCATATCCAAGCGTATTCAGAAACTTCCATATATCAGCCGAAGATGAATTAAGTAGTTGTTCTTGGATATATCGGTGTTTAGCAGCTCTCACCATCTGATTGCATCGATTTCTTGCAGCTTTATATGCTTGCCATTTTACCTCAGTGCAATTCTTCCTGAAAGCACGGAAAGTTCTATCGCGTTTAGCCATAGCCAATCTTACCCCAACCGTGATCCATGGAACAGGAGGACGCTTCAGTCGAACAACACGTTTAGGAGCATGTTTATTATACAGTCCTAATATGTTGCTGTTAAAGAAGTCGACATTTTCATCAACTGTGGAAGCAGTATATACAGATGACCAGTTAATAGCATCTGCATCGCATTTAAGCTTCTCCATATCTAATCTAGCAAAACTACGAATAGAGATGGACACAGATAAAGGCTTGGGAGACTTTAATTTATATGACAGATAAAGCAGGTCATGCCGTGAAAATCCAGAAGCAGGGAATTGTCTATAATTGACAACGTGATCAACGAAGGAGATGGCTATAAGGTCAATCCAGGTGTCACAGCAGAGTGGAAGTTGTCATGTGTTGCATTTAGAGGAAAAATAGTGAAATTATGCGACAACATGGTCGACCTCAGTTTCGAAGATTTAAGAAAAACCCCAGATAGGTCAGTGTTAAAGTCTCCCATGATAATGTGATGTGTGTAGGCAGAACTGTAAGGCAATAAATTTACTTCCAAATCGGAGAAATAGTCCACTTGAGGTGGACAGTAGACAACTCCAAGAAACACTTTAACACTCTTGACATTAACTTCAACAAAAATGTATTCCATTGAACCGGAATATAGAGAAGAAGATTTGTTTAATATTGTTACGCGCTCAAGTCGACGGCACTAGCGCCATCTAGTCTCGAACCGAAGAACTAAACTTCTTGAAGTTGAAACACGAACTCTCGGTACCTTGCGCGTGTTTACTTGAATATTCTGGATATTTCGCTGCTAATTTATATAAATAGGCGCTGCAAGATGCGATCGAAAAAGTATTGAAATTGGGCGAGACAAGCGAAGCTTCGGAGCGGAATAAAGTGAATCAGTGTGATTAATTATTAGTGTTTTTAACTTTAATTAGTGTAAAGTGAATTAAAGTGTTAATTTAGGTAATTCTA